CACCTCCTGCCTGCAGTCCGGGCCCCTTTCAATACAGCCTTTATGCTCCTGCTTGAGTAGTCTGACTGAAATGCAAATCTGACAGTGCCATTGTCACACACCTCCCTGGTTGAAAGCCCCCAATGGCTCCCTTCTGACTGGAGGACAAGGTGCAAAGTCCTTAACACGGAACACCAGGTCCTTCCCGATCTGGACACTGCTTTTCTCCCCATTATCCTGTACATCCACTTCCTGCCTTGCATTTTAGGTTCCAGTGACACTGGACTACTTACAGTTCCTGCACAGAGTGACAAGCTTCTCCCAGTTTCCCCAGGACATTTCTGGTCTTAGCACTGACAGTCTCATTCCCTGGGAAATGCTTAGTCCCAGGCAAGCTAGGGCTTCCCTGGCCTGGAATCTGAAAGTCCCTTATGCTGGGAATGTCCTCACTAGCGGGCACAGCGGGAGAGGGGTCCCCAGCCTCCGTGCTGCTTCTGCAGCTGTCTCTGCTCATGCTCCTTCCTCAGATCAGGAGGTCTCCCTTACCTCCTGCCTCCTGTTCATTCTGGAAACATGACCCAAAGCAAGCAACAGACAACACAGAAAATAAAACATACACAAGAGGGGAGAAAAACGCATATGTACGCACATAAATTGAGCCTCTTTCTCTGCCACAAAGAATTTCCTGCTGAGCCTCTGGCTGGGTGGGCTGCCCCTCCTCTGTGCTGCCCAAATAACCTGGACACATCACTTCCACAGCATTCAACGAGCTGGAAATATCTGACTAAAGTGTCTTCCTCCTTCCTGCAGCTGCTAACCAGTTTCCCAGCTTTCAGGGTCTTCATCTGCGATGCCGAGCACCTGGCAGGTGTGACCCCCTCAGCACTCAGTACATGTATGCTGGATCCATGTGCAGCCAAATGCCGACTGTGTTTTAAACCCTAATGTGGGATTTCCTGCTTCTTCTTGAAGACAGCGTGCCTAACATAGCATGGCCGAAGAGCTGAAAAGTACCTGAAAGTGGTGATTCCTGGTTTTCCTTTGGATTTTTTTTTTCTGTTTTAACGAACAGCTAACAATTTTTAGCCCGTCGCCCAGAACTATGAAGAAAGAACACTTGGAGTCGTGTCCTGCAATGTGTGTTGATGCTTTCGCAGAGTCTCACTGCCTTTGTGGCAGGTGGTATTTCCCCCCTTCAGGGAAGTAATGAGGGGGACACGGTAACCCTCTGAATGCATCTCTCCAGGGCTGGGGCGTAAGCACTCCTTACATGGCCGACTGACAAAGAATAAACCTATAGATGAGCAAGTTAAGTCAGTGGCCACGCCAGGCCTCAGCCAGTTGCGGGAGTGGGTGAGGCAGCATCAGACTCAGCTCTACCTCATGCCGCCAGAGCCCAGGGACGTGTCCTTGACAGCACCAGGCCACCTCCCTGAGCTGGGCAGGGTGGAGGGGTCCTGCGAGTGGAAGCAGGGAGTCTAGTTGGATGCCACTGTGGAGGACCACCTGAGGGAGGAAGGCAGTCTGGATGTCACCTGGTCCTTCATGAAGGCTTCCCCCATCCCAGTATCTGGCAGCCGGGACATGGGCAGGGCGGGAAACCCAAGAGCTCGGTCAGGGAAAGGCTTTTCCCTCTGGTCTGGGTGAGGCCCTGGGAGATTTGCGGGGACCTAAGATATGGCCAATGACCCCCTGGAGCATTCGCCACAGGAGGCCTCACTCTATTTGCACCATGTCCCTGCCATGCACAGGCCCAGGCCCAGAGGTGCGGGCACTGTGTTTCGGCCTAGGATTCCCAGCCTTCTAGACTGCTTGGCACGGGTGACAGCACCAAGCCCAGGCCAGGGTCATCCCAGGCCAGTCTCAAGCCACAGGTGTCTGCTGAAATAAATGGCAAATGCCCTCGGATCTCCTCGTCATCGCCACCGATGCAGGGCCACAGCGGAGTCTGTCTCTCCATCTAATCATAGAGCCCGTGCTTGACAGTCTGGCCCACCTCTCTCCCAAGGCTCCATTGGAGTGGAATGTCCAGCGTGGACTACAAGGGATTCAAAAGCTTCTAGGCTAATAACCCTCTTCAAAGGAGGCTCACATGACCCATGCTTATCCTAGAATTCAACTCGAGAATGGCCATCGGCTGGGTCTTCCACTGCTGACTTTTGGGATCCTGAAGCCACCATAGAATTCCCTAGCACAATTGGCCTGAGGTTTCGCTTGACCCATCACCTCTCCCTATTTTCTCTGTCCTAGAGTGACTATGTCCTGTTACCTAGGCTTGGGGACCCATGGAGTCCCACACCATTATTGCCTACACGTTAATCTCAAGCTGACCTCCCACTACTAAGTCAAAGACAGGGGGCAGGCGCCCCTATTCTAGTCTTTACTTCTATCCTTGCCCCCGTCTGCCCATTCATAGACATTCATCGGAAACTTAGTCTAGCATAAATTTTGGCGTCAAACCTGGATTGGATTCCTGCCAAGACCACTTACTAGTTATGTGCCCTTGGGTAGTAGTTGACCCAGGCTCCTTGGCATGATTCGCAGGAGAAGGACGCCTGCCCATCCTGGGAGGAAACTGTAGGGGTCAGGTGAGGACCAACATCTGTGCACACCAGAGACACGAGAGTGCCTGGCACAGAGGACCATAAGGAGCCCAGTAGAAACTGCTTATGATGGCACTTACTGTAGTGCTGGATACTGGAAGGGGAGGGAGGCTGAGATGTGGCCCCCGGGCTCCGTGACATTGTGACTGAATGGACACCTAGCGCAGGCATACTCCCAGATGGCTGTCAGTTGAAGGCAGCCTGTGATCAAGGGCACGGTGCGGGCAGCCCGGGGCTTCAGACAGTAGGAAGAGGAGGAGGCAGGGAACTCACCACAGGACGGTGGCAGACACTGCACCTGGCACGCTACATCTATTCTCTCATCCAGTCTAATCGCAATCCTTCTGTAGGGGTGTTATAAACAGCACGCCCATTTTACAGTCGGAGATCCTGAGACTCAAGGAGGGAGGGGTCACTGTGGGCTGCGATGGTGAGGACATCTTCACAGAGGAGGTAGGATTTGAGCCAGGACTGGAAAGGTGACTAGATTTGGGGTGGGGGGTGGCGGGGGCGGTGCGCGGGGAGAGGCCTTTCACGGGAGTGAAGGGGAGTAGCTTGCCACAGAGCCCTGAGTCAGCAGTGCTCAGAGCCAGCGAGGCCAGCGGCACTTTCCGCTTGCTCCCTAGCAACTTCCCATCACGGCTCAGAGCAGCTTTATCTCTGCAACTTCACTAACACGTGGCTCGTGGCTCCGGAGGGAAAAGTCAGCCTCCTTCTCTCACTGTCAGCCCTAAGCAAACAGAGGGGACCCAGGTAGCCGGGAGAGCGAGTTCATACAGCTGTCTGGCACCGAACCTCTCCCCCACCCACTCCAATTGCCTCAGGGCATGGCTGTCAGGACTGCGAATGTGTACGGCCACCGCTCACGGCCTGCTGACTAGGCATCTGGCAGTCTGTCTGCACTAGGCCCCTGAATCCCCACAGCAACCTTGTAGACCCCTATTCTACAGAGGAGGAAACTGAGGCTCAGAGAGGTCAAGCCACTTGCCCGAGGCAGAAAAGCTAGTAAGAGGCACAATTGGTGTTTGAACTCAGTTCTCATCTGACTCCAAATGCTGTGGCCTTAAACACTCTTGCTGTGGCGTCTAGTTCCATCAGCTAACATCAGTCATGAGCCCCAAACAGACCCTCGCACCACGGTGTGTCTCTTTCCCTTGCCAATGGGGCCAGGCGACACTATCTGTCTCCAGAAGACATACCCACCCGAACTTCAAAGACAACAAATCCAGGAAAAAGTGATGTTAAAAGCAAAACACTCCTTCCAGCCCTGTTGCTCTGAAAATCCCCAAGTCCCAAGAGATGTTCCTATTCTATCCCCAGATCTTTTCCCTCCAAGGGAAACACTCTCAAAAGCGTTTACATTCATTGGACAAGAATCATGTGGTCACCCTTCCTATGAAGAGGCAAAGAAGCCTCCACACATCAGGTCTCTCTGCAACCCTGACATGCAGAGCCAGGCCGTGATCCGCAGCTCCCCAAGTGAGGGTGGGGTCCTGCCTTTTGTCAGGACTAGCCAGCCCCTCCTTGGGGATGGAAAAAGGAATGAACAAACTAGGAATGTGATTTTGAGGGGATTCCGAGTATGATCCAGCTCCTGGGAACTGGAGTGGTCCTGGAACAGCATTACAAGAACGCCTGGAATGCAGAGCTTGCCCTCGCTGGCTCTGGGCAGCGTTGAGCACATGCTGCCCTGTCAGCACAGCTGTGCCTCACGCATGAGGCATGCAGAGACATAAACAGGTGGAGGAAAGACTCATCAAGGGGTCAAGCCCACTCCGCTCAAGCCCCTGGTTTGCCCCACACCACATTGCAAGTTCCTGCTGCAGAGGAAGCCCAGCTACACCTTGGGTCCAGGCTGCTTCTGGGAAACTGAAGCCCCCAGGACACACTGCAGCCTTGGGGGCCGTTGAAGGAAGCAAGTGACCTGGGTGCCAAAGTCATGAGAAAGCCGACCTCTAACCAGTTGGTGACGGTGCATAGTCAGGAATTTCACTAGAATGCACAGCAATGGGCCTAAGTAATGTCTGGGAAAGCTACCAGGAGGGAGGGATTTCCACCCAAGAATGCCATTGTGATTCAGTATTGGAAAATCTATAAATGTGATTTATACGAATAAGCCAAAAGATTAAAAAAATGTAGATCTCAAAAGTCCCTAAAACGGAATGTGTGAATGTCTGATATCTATTACGTTAACATATGAGTTGAGGATCTTTAGCTCTGGGGAAAGGATGCCTTAAAAATCGGCAGGAAGCCACATGCCACGTGCCACGTGCCGCCCAAATCGGCAGGTCGACGCCTGCCACTCGCCCAGGAAATGCAGCAGGTCCCCCTGGTGGCGTGCTACAGCTCTTTTGGGACAACTGAGGTGGCTCTGAAAAGAGCCTTTGGGTTTCAGTGCTCAGGCGATCCTGAGGCGGCTCACTTGCGGGTGGTGTACCTAATGAGGGCCATGGTGCCCTCGGACACGGCGTGCTTGCCGATTTCCCCGGGCAGCAGCAGGCGCACGGCCGTCTGGATCTCTCTGGACGTGATGGTCGCGCGCTGGGTGTAGCGGGCCAGCCGGCCGGCCTCCAGGGCTATGCGCTCCAGGATGTCGTGAATGAACGAATCGATCACGCTCACGGACTCTTGGGACAGGCTGAGCCCCACGTGGAGCTGCCTCAGGACCCTGGGGAAGTAGGTGGCGAAGCTGTCCCCACGGCGGCTGCGGCGGCGGCGCCTTGGCTGCTGCTTCTTCTGCTCCTGGGTCGCCGTGGAGTCGGTCTCTTGGGACTCCGTGGCGCCGGGGCAGGCTTCAGAGTACAGCTCAGAAGAAGCCTTCCGCATGGCGGAGGGAGGTGTCTGTTCTCTAGGGAGATCAGACACTGGCGACACAGGTCTGTCTCGGGTGTATTTATAGTCGCTGAGTTGCCTGACGTCACGGGCCACATCGCCGTGACTGGATGAAATGGCACTCAGGTAGCCTGTCAGAGAGCCACACGATGCTCAAGGTGATTGGACAGTCCCTGAGTCAACTCAGCGCCTATAAATACACCCGAGACAGATCTGTGTCGCCAGTGTCTGATCTCCCTAGAGAACAGACACCTCCCTCCGCCATGCGGAAGGCTTCTCCTGAGCTGTACTCTGAAGCCTGCCCCGGCGCCACGGAGTCCCAAGAGACCGACTCCACGGCGACCCAGGAGCAGAAGAAGCAGCAGCCAAGGCGCCGCCGCCGCAGCCGCCGTGGGGACAGCTTCGCCACCTACTTCCCCAGGGTCCTGAGGCAGCTCCACGTGGGGCTCAGCCTGTCCGAGGAGGCCGTGAGAGTGATGGATTCGTTCGTCCACGACATCTTCGAGCGCATCGCTGAGGAGGCCGGCCGGCTGGCGCGCTACACCCAGCGCGCCGCGCGACATCACGTCCAGAGAGATCCAGACGGCGGCGCTCATTCTGCCCGGGGAAATCGGCAAGCACGCCGTGTCCGAGGGCACCATGGCCCTCATTAGGTACACCACCCGCAAGTGAGCCGCCTCAGGATCGCCTGAGCACTGAAACCCAAAGGCTCTTTCAGAGCCACCTCAGTTGTCCAAAAGAGCTGTAGCACGCCACCAGGGGACTGCTGCATTTCCTGGGCGAGTGGCAGGCGTCGACCTGCCGATTTGGGCGGCACGTGGCACGTGGCATGTGGCTTCCTGCCGATTTTTAAGGCATCCTTTCCCCAGAGCTAAAGATCCTCAACTCATATATTAACGTAATAGATATCAGACATTCACACATTCCGTTTTAGGGACTTTTGAGATCTACTTTTTCTTAATCTTTTGGCTTATTCGTATAAATCACATTTATAGATTTCCAATACTGAATCACAATGGCATTCTTGGGTGGAAATCCCTCCCTCCTGGTAGCTTTCCCAGACATTACTTAGGCCCATTGCTGTGCATTCTAGTGAAATTCCTGACTATGCACCGTCACCAACTGGTTAGAGGTCGGCTTTCTCATGACTTTGGCACCCAGGTCACTTGCTTCTTCAACGGCCCCCAAGGCTGCAGTGTGTCCTGGGGGCTTCAGTTTCCCAGAAGCAGCCTGGACCAAGGTGTAGCTGGGCTTCCTCTGCAGCAGGAACTTGCAATGTGGTGTGGGGCAAACCAGGGCTTGAGCGGATGGGCTTGACCCTTGATGAGTCTTCCTCCACCTGTTTATGTCTCTGCACGCCTCATGCGTGAGGCACAGCTGTGCTGACAGGGCAGCATGTGCTCAACGCTGCCCAGAGCCAGCGAGGGCAAGCTCTGCATTCCAGGCGTTCTTGTAATGCTGTTCCAGGACCACTCCAGTTCCCAGGAGCTGGATCATACTCGGAATCCCCTCAAAATCACATTCCTAGTTTGTTCATTCCTTTTTCCATCCCCAAGGAGGGGCTGGCTAGTCCTGACAAAAGGCAGGACCCCACCCTCACTTGGGAGCTGCGGATCACGGCCTGGCTCTGCATGTCAGGGTTGCAGAGAGACCTGATGTGTGGAGGCTTCTTTGCCTCTTCATAGGAAGGGTGACCACATGATTCTTGTCCAATGAATGTAAACGCTTTTGAGAGTGTTTCCCTTGGAGGGAAAAGATCTGGGGATAGAATAGGAACATCTCTTGGATTTGGGATTTCAGAGCAACAGGGCTGGAAGGAGTGTTTTGCTTTAACATCACTTTTTCCTGGATTTGTTGTCTTTGAAGTTCGGGTGGGTATGTCTTCTGGAGACAGATAGTGTCGCCTGGCCATTGGCAAGGGAAAGAGACACACCGTGGTGCGAGGTCTGTTTGGGGCTCATGACTGATGTTAGCTGATGGAACTAGACGCCACAGCAAGAGTGTTTAAGGCCACAGCATTTGAGTCAGATGAGAATGAGTTCAAACACATTGTGCCTCTTACTACTTTTCTGCCTCGGGCAAGTGGCTTGACCTCTCTGAGCCTCAGTTTCCTCCTCTGTAGAATAGGTCTACAAGGTTGCTGTGGGGATTCAGGGGCCTAGTGCAGACAGACTGCCAGATGCTAGTCAGCAGGCCGTGAGCGGTGGCCGTACACATTCGAAGTCCTGACAGCCATGCCCTGAGGCAATTGGAGTGGGTGGGGGAGAGGTTCGGTGCCAGACAGCTGTATGAACTTGCTCTCCCGGCTACCTGGGTCCTCTGTTTGCTTAGGGCTGACGTGAGATAAGGAGGCTGACTTTTCCTCCGAGCCACGAGCCACGTGTTGTGAAGTTGCAGAGATAAAGCTGCTCTGAGCCGTGATGGGAAGTTGCTAGGGACAAGCGGAAAGTGCGCTGCCTCGCTGGCTCTGAGCACTGCTGACTCAGGGCTCTGTGGCAAGCTATCCTTCAACAG